TATTTGTGTGTGTTTGAGATTTAATATTGCACACAAACTCAGCCCAGAACATGAGGGATTCGTTTTTTATCGAATGATACTCTTTTCTTTTCTTAAGAGTAGTTACGGATGCCACCAGTGATTTCCAACTTGTATTATTGCATATATTAGTGAGCATACCAATAATAAACCAAAATGTGTAACGAAAGAGATACTGCACCCAAACTCGGTCCAGAACATGGGGAATAACAGTATATCCTCCTATATATTGTAATAACTGGTGGCATACCAATAATAAACCCGGGTCCAATCTCAGTAGTTACGGATGCCATCAGCTTAAGACTATTTAATAAATTTCTGCATATATTAGCTTTCTTATTAGATGTCTACTTTTTCTCAGTCCAAAACATGAGGGATGCCACCAGTGATTACAATTTCAATTTTGAGGTGTTTTACCTTTGTAATAGTTTATTATCACTCCATTGATAGTTTGTATTAGTAGCCAAACCCGTTGAACTAAACCCTAACCAATTTAATAAATATCTAAATAAAACCTTAAATCTCTAGATCCTAAAATCCAAAATTTGAATAGCCACAAACTGAACTCAGGTCGGATATATGATGTCCATGCATAAACTAAATTTAAAATATATCAGAACAATAATTCACATTGTTTATCTGCTTTTAGAAACAACTCAACAACATCATTCTTATAGTCGCGACCATTAAGATATATAATAACATTATAATTCTAACATTAAATAAAAACTTGATTGTAAAAAATATGAAATTAATTATTTACCATAGATTTTTTAAAAGAATAAAAAAAAATTGTAAACAATTATAAAACTAATTGCCAAAATATATAAATAATTCTAAAACTGTATTATATAAAATATAAATATTCCACGATATAGAAGACATTATAAACATTGAAAGTAGTGTTTATATTTATATATAAATGATCTTTTCAAATATGTAAAAATAAGATAAAGTTATAGTTATTCCCAAAAATATATATTGAAAATAACAATATGATCTCAGAACTCTTTTCATTGTTTGTTTATTTTTAATATATTTTTGATCTATAATAATTTTAAATACCAAAATTTATATAAATTCATAATAAAATATTTTTTATTATAACTTTCCGGCCATAGGGCGGGCCAGCTCTAGATATGCAGTCAATAACCAACATATATAACATATGTAATATGTAAAGTATAACCCGCCCGTAGGGGGGGCCGGTCCTAGTATAAAATAAAACTATCTTGAATCTCATATGGATATAAAAATTTGATCTCGAATGCCTTTCATATAGTGCCATAAAATTTATCAATAATTTATATGGATATATACTATTTTTTGTAATGACTAACCTCAAATTATTAATTTACTTTATTGAAAATTTTAAAATTTTATGAGTTACTTTACACCATTTTATTAGTACATTAAAATATTATAACTATTTTTAGTACAATAAAGCTTTATATGAGTGTTGGTTAGTTGCAAAAACTTAGGTAGGTTGGATCATGATTTAGGAAAACTATTTTGAAAAAAAACTTGATTGAAAGAAAAATGGTTTTTGAAAAAAAAATCAACCAAAAACTAATCCAAAAACCCAAAACAATCAACCTCAAACATGTTATCATTACTTACTTTTGGTGTCTCTTAAGAAGATCAAGTCGGACATGACTAACAAACTTGACTCAAGATATGATTCTAAGTACATTGCATCAAACCTAATGATCAAATTTCAGAGCCAAATTGTCTTCTCCATGTTGATAAACTTGTTAGTCCATCATGGACGGTGCAGCTTCGTAAAACAGAATCTCTGGCCGAATCTTCCTTTCTCCACAGAATCTAACCACACTCTCCCAGCTACCAACAACCTATGCCATTACCACACATATGTTATCTCAACACATATACCATTCAACAAAAGGAAGACAAAACCATCTGTTTATCTCATACCTCTCCTGCTAAAGACTCACGTCTGAGATTGATCCACCGGTTCTTTTCATAAGCCATGCAGATGTGTTCTCCTTCTTCTTCACTATAACCAACCTGCATCACATCCCATATTTTCAGAGACTTGTACAGACAAATACAGAAAAAACAATTAGGACAAGTTTTTTTTGTTTACCATTGACACAAGCCGGTAGTTAGTGTTTTGTTCTAAGCCTTTGAACAGCCTGCTGATATCTATCTCCCACTCCAAAGCCTTTGTTGTTTCTGTTATCTCTTTTTCAGTTTCACTCTTCTCCCATTCTAACACTAATTGTTGCAAACCCCCACAACACACCAATGTTATTTTATAACAAATGAAATGGGTAGATGAGAACACAAACATGGTTCTCAAAAACTTACCGATTATGAAGATAGGTGGGCATCTACTTATAACATGATGAACAACATTTGTCGTTCCACAGCCTCCAGTTTTAATGTCACATAACATTTTGTATCCCATGCGGATCGCCTTAAGGATATCCACAAACTTTATATCCCCAAAAGCACACTGCATATATATATATATATATATACATATAAGCACATAACATCTTCACAAAAGTACCAGTTTTTCTAGTAAAGATAAAGAGCGAAATAAATGAAACACACCTTCACGTTTCTGATTGAATCTGCAGCTATAACAATGCCATAGGAGCTCTGGTCTGGATAATTTGGCTGCCTTCTGCATTTTCTACAATTCATTCTTTCATTTTCCTCCAACGTGAAAAGGCGATTCACCAAGCTTTCTCCTTCTGAATTTCTCCAGCAATGCCAAGACTCAAGGATGGTAACAAGTACCTCAGCAGAATCACTCGGCTGAGAAGAATGAAAAATACAATACTCTTAGTAACAAAATAGTAATACTAATAATATGATGCTTAGAAGCTTTTATATTATTCACACGAACCATAGAATTAACTTTTTCCAGGGACACGAGTAAGTATCTCAGGATGAGACTGTAGACTCCCTCAGTTTTTATTTCCTCTGACACAACAGCAGTAAATAAACTCTGTAGCGCAGGAAGAACTTGTTCTTCTAGGTTGTCACGAAAAGGTTGCTTATTGTTCTTTAGATCTTGTTTAAGAACGTTTATGCTCACAAGGGCCTGCAAAAAGAATAATAAGGTAAAGAGATGGAATGAGCTGAATCAGAAGACAACGGTTTAGGAGTTGTTTTACCTTCAGGGTCATGTCAAGAGCTGAGTTGTATCTGGCTGCAGCTCCTCCAAGTGCTGACTCCATATTTCCAGAGACTGAATCTTCTACAGGCATGTTTTGCATATCTTTAAGATGGTGAATGAATATGATAAGAAGGATAAATCTTAAAACAAGACAAAATTTTCAAATTATGAGTCAGTTGAGAAGCTCCTTTTTACCACCACTGTTAACTTTAGTAGCTTCCTCTTGAATGTCATTGGTGGATGAAATTTCCAATGGACTTATTGAGGAGTATTATGTAAATATCTATAGTTATTGAATGTTTCCTATATTCATAGATATTATATCTTGTAGGATACGTTTAGAATATTGCCTTAGGGCTTACAAGCTCATGTATATAATCTCTTTTGAACATGAATAAGAGACACAACTTTCACGCCTCCTTGTTATGGTATCAGAGCAGGTTTACTGAAAAAAAAAAAAAAAAAACGTGAAAGAAGAACATTCGAAACAGAGCATATAGCTCAATGACTAACGACAGCCAAATCGCGGAAGGCGGCGGCAAAGCGATGGTGGTCGCAACGGTGGATAAAACCCATTCTCCGTTCTACCTTCATCCATCAGATGGACCTGGTAATCTGATCACAAGTGTTCAGTTACGAGGAGAGAATTAT